TAAGATAATAATTTGTAAAATTCTTTAAAAATTTTATTATATTCACTATTGATTTGTTCTTGAAAGGAATTCCATATTTAATTAAACATTTCTCAGCTTGTAAGAAATATTAAGACAATCTAAATTTTTACCAAGCTGAATACTAAAGTATATTTTTATTAATTCAATATTCTATTATATTCAGATTATATTTGATATTATTTCTATAAAATACTAAAAACACTGTATTAAAAAAAGGAAATTTGCCTTAGCACTAAATGAAATTCTCATATTAGAATTGTCACAACTTCATAAAATAAAAAATAACACTAGTAAATACAGTATTATAACTGCACTTATGATATATAAGAACATTTATAGATTTTTAACAATTTCATGTATTTGTATGTATAGTATATCGCAAATAACTGATATACTTTATATTAAATCTATTATTATGTTTTATGGAAAAAATTATGCAGTCCATGTAAATTCGGTTAAGCTTAAACTTTTGTAATTTTAAGATTTAGTTGAATTTTGCATATATAAACTCTTATTTATAGATTTTCCTATAACTTTTTTACTTTCTAGCAAATGAAGTAACATATTTCTACATTCTAAAATATATGTTATAAATTTACGCAAATAATAAAAGTCAGGATTTGTTGTAGGAGATATTAAATGTCAAATATTATGTAGTTTTTGTAAATGAAACGTATTAAATGTCATTTCAAAAGATTTTAAATATCAACTCTAAATATATTATTAAAATGATTTATTTGCTAACAAAATATGAAAAAATTACTTCATTTTTACAATTAATAAAACTATTTTACTTTATTACTTGTTTAGTTGTGATAATATAATGATGTTTTATTTGATTAACAATGAAAAGGTTTTAAAATTGTTCAAAAAATTTCTAAACAATTATAATTTTATAATTATGTATACATGCTGTTTTAATACTTCTTCAAGTCGAAAATATAAACAAATTATATTTTCTCAATATACTTGATTTCATGAATATCTATTTTATCGTTTTATAATTAAATTTTTTTTATGACAATTATCACATCGGTATAACTATTTATTTAGAAACTTTTTTTTTTAATTTATAATTGAGTCAGATATTATAACGTAAGATACATATTATGTATGTATATCCTAACTTATAGATATAAATAATTAAATTATCACTATATGAAAATAAAATAAATGTATATATATATATATATATATATACAGATAAATAGAAGACTTACAAGAATATTAAACTGTTTAAAGATGGTAATCGCCTATAAAAATGCATACAGAGAATTTTATTACTGCAGCATTTTAATTTAATTAATCAGAGAAACAATTAAATTTATGTTAATTATAAATTGCCTGAGTTTATTTTACTTACTGTTTTGAATTGACTATCATCAACTAATTGTATATATATATTCAGAAATTTCTTTGTTTTATGAAATATTTATTTTGAAAATACAAAAAAAAGCACACAGTTTCGATTGATCTGATTACGACTGGTGATTTTTAAGTCTAAATATAAAAACGTGGATTATGAAATTATAACAAGAGCTTTGAATGAAAATATCTATAAATTTTGTCAGATAGATACATATTTTGTTGAAATGATACAATTTAAAAAAAAATATTATAAAATATTTTTAGTTATAATTTTATTATTGAAATGTTAATAATAATTAAAACGCAAATATATTATTATTTTAATAATTTTAATATAAATAAAATAAATAAAAATAAAAATATGCTAGTTTAGAAAAATTATTGTTTCAAGTTCTGATCTTTAAAATATTTAAATTATAAATAACATGAGAAATTTTTAAAATTAAATTTTAACCAATGTGAACAAATTAATTATCAAAACATTTTAATAATCACGTTCGCTAATTTTCTGATTTAATAAATAAATTTTAATATATTAGAGTTTTTCTTTTAAAAATTGGTTCCGTTATACTGTCAAATATATTAATAAAATAATTAATATAAGCTTGTTAACTCTTGGTTTACACAATCAAGATTATTATAATTTGTTAAAAGATTTTTATTTATTTTTGTATATATATATATATATATATATATATATATATGTTGGTATGTGTAAGAGCTCCCTAGCATTGATTTTCAAATATTCTAGGTAATAAAATTATATTAATAGTTCTAGGGATTTGCCATTTTGTAGCTCCACTTAATCGAATGACTTAGAATTTATCCCTTATACATCGAAAAGGGCGAAATAGACTTTTCTACTGGTGCCGTGAAAAAGGACGGATTACGACGATAACTTGTTTCGCTTCTATCGCCCCAACGAGGGTATTTTATATTATAGGTAAAGGTCAGGAGGAAAGTCGAGTGTAGCTTGTGTTAGAAGGGTCGGACGTTGTGAGTGTTGAGCGGTAGTTCACCGAAAAGCCGAGTTTCTCTTTTTTAGAAAAACGATTCCCCTTTATACATTTGCCCGAGGGCTGGTTCAAGTGTTGAGTTGCAGAAGCACAAACATTCGACTATAAAGACAAACTAAATGGTGTACTGAGCCAAATGGCATATCCAACCACTAAGAATGCTCGCAAGCTTCTTGCGACAATGATATAAGGCCAATCCTCCAAGAGTGTCGGAAACAAACTTGCATCATCATGCTCAGATATCAAAATGCTTATCAAACTCATTCAAGCTTTTTGCGAAATCCTCCAATTTTTGTTATTATTAATGATTACTGCAGCTCTATGTATTATATGCTTGCGAAACATTTATTTCTCGGAGGCTAAAGTGTAATGCAGCCATCAATGTATATTGTGTCGAATATAAAATACATTCAATCGTAGTATTAAAGATTTTTCCATTCTATCATAACAATTTGTAAATATAGTTTTCTATTTAAAATAATGTATGAATTAGAATGCAGATAAAAACAGTATTAGATTGTATTACATGTGAACAACGTTTAAATATCTATAGTGTAGTGAGATTTCAAAAACAATCATGTAATTAACACAATAATAATAATTCTTTATAAAATTGAGAAAAACATATTTACTTAATATAGCGATGAAAAAAAATTATATTTTTTGAGACTATTTAACTGCATCTATGTATATGTTATTTTTTAATTTTATTATCAAACAACATAACTATAAATATATCGACTTAATATAGCAAACTATTAACATTTTAATCTAGATTTAAATCGATTGTAGGCTTTAATGAAAATTGTAATTTTTAATAACACACAGACACGGAAAATACCATACACATACACCGTTTAATTATAATTTCATACTTTTTTTATACGCGTATTTCGTATCTTTATACGTATTACCGAAATTTGTTCAATTTTATTATTTTTCATAATACGTCAAAAATAAAATTTATCTTTAATCTAATGTATAACATTAAAATTACTGTTAGTTAGTTTCATTGAAGGTTCGTCGTAATAGAGAGTAAAGTTTAATCTACGCCTTAATTATGTTAAAATGTAACTAATAATTCCAAAGATATAGATTATACATTATATTTATACCACACCAATAACTTATTATGTATACTTCATAGTAATGATTTTTATTTTCATAATCGATGATGATAATTTATATAATAATTGAAAATTAATAGAAATTAGTTTAAATTTTAATGAGATAATGTATATTTTGACAAGTGAAAAGGCTATCTCCTCGTTTGTTAACGTAAAACTCTTAGTATAAATCTTTCCGGCACTTAATATTATCTTACATACAATAAGATGAGTTTACCTTATTATTAAACTATATTATTCTTATAATTTAAAGAAATAATTGTTTTGCATATAAATTTCTAAAAATTTGATATCTTTTATTTTTACCTGAAAAAAGAGATTTTTCATTCGAAAAGCAGTAACCGAATGTACATAAATAACATGTCACAATATTTTTTAATTCTATTAACTCATAAAACTAAAATATTGAATTTAGCATATTGAAAATATATAGATCGTAGTAAATTCGAGGAAGATTTTATTTGAAAAGAACAATTCATCTAATAAATAAAACTTACACGCTATTTCAACTACAAATTAAATTTGTACTTGTGTTAAATTTGAATATTTTAACGAATTAATGGTATAACTGCATTAAAGAATTGTTAAGGCTACTTATAATTATCAAGACATGGAATAGTTGTTATTAAATTGGTATATAATGTCTTATAAATATTCAAATATCTAAAAACAAATGTAAAAAAAAAATCACTTATATACCTATATATATACCTATAAATATTAAATTTTTTATAACTATTTCAACATAATCATGAATATAATGACAATTTATGAATTTAATATTCTTATATTATGTCAAACGTTCGTAAGCATAAAAATATTATATTTAAAAATAATTTTCACATTCATAGTATAATAGAATCGTACACATTAGAGCATAAATTAATAAAAGAATAGATATAATAAGGCCAAAAATTACTTAAACGATTAAAATAATATGAATATAGTAAATCATTCACAATATATATATATATATATATATATACAAGTTAGATACAATATAATGAGATTACCTATACAAATTGTTATTATTTATTGAGTTCATTATTCAAGCGTACAAAAATACACTTTGCACGAAAATTCTCTTTAACTTCTAACGATCCGAGGAGTAATTCATCGCTGTAAGAAACAATGTATAAGAGAAAAGGCCGAAATAATGTGGTTACTGCTAATAATATCCGATAATAATCTTGATTCACGGGCAAGATCAGTAAACTTAAAATTACAGCGAACTACGCCTCATTCGCTAGATGGAAAACTTAGAGCTCCATTAGTGTCGGCTCGTGGATGCTCGTTCTCGCAATTTTCTTTAGCGCCACACAACGCACAACGAACGACGTACTAATCAGGAAATTCTCTCGGTATCCCGCTCCCACCTCCTGACCCCCGCCCCCCTCTCGCACTTTTACTTTTCTGTTCTCGCCTCTGGGAAATCAATCAAAACAAACGAAATAAACGAAAAATCTAGGTGGCAATATAGCTGGGGGCAAGAGGACGGCCCAGGCGACGATCGTCGTCCAGCAGCCGTCTCTGTCCCTGGACGCGCCCGCGGCTACGATTCTGCTGAGGCCCGCCGACTCTGACGCCAAACGCAGCGAGGAGCACATGAAGCAGATACTGGACGTCACCAATAAGCTGACCCTCAAGGAAATCCATGACGTCGAGATGAAGTGAGTAATAAAGCTGCCCTTCTTATGTGTTAGCGCCCGTATTAAATGTGCTCGATGGCTTTTCTCATTCAGGAGACACTGAACTTCTTAATAAACCCGTTTTCGCGCTTTATTTATCTTTTGAATCTTTAGATCTAATATTCTATCTTACCGCTGACTACATTTTTGGTTCTCGAAGCTTTCTCCGATCGCGGGAGACCAGCTAATTATTCCCCATAAACGATTTGCTTTACCGTTTGAAAATTCACTTACGTGTCTTTAAATCTTCTTACGATAATAAATTACTTTTTGAGTTTTCTTTTTTTTTTTTTTTTTAATTTTTTTAATGAGATTTATTCAAGTTTGCATACATATTGTATTTGTTCTCAAACACCAACGAAGAATACTCAAGTTATATAAGAAAAGTTGGCTTTATAATTTCATTACAAGCTTATTTATGCAAGATAAAAGAAAAGCCGCTGGACCAGCAAGTACATTAAAACTTATAGCCCATTGCTTAAACTGTCTACAACGACTTTTGCAAATATTACTTCGTCATTAAAATTTTATTCGATTCTTATTGGCATTTATTCTATTTTTATTTATCATTATTATCATTGTTATCATAATTATATCTGAGATACGTTGAAAATGAAGGAATCAATTTTTTGTATTATTATAAATTTAAGCTTTATAGAGGCCATTTCCTTTATATCTATTATTATAATGAATTATATGAAGTAAGCATATAAAGTATCATGCCCAAGGTATTATTTTATATCACGGGTACGTGTAATATTACCATAATGATAATATAGCGGCGAGTTATGAGAAGTTTTCGTAATTATCATCAATGCAATTTGCTTACAAATTTTTATTATTTACGTGATAAATCGTTTACAAAAGCATTTTCTGTTTCGTTATTAAAAGTAATGATAAATACTATTTCGATATTAATTACAAATTAAATCCAAATTACTGTACATATGTATTGTATATTATTATTTTCTACTATAAATGTTAGGGAAAAAATTGGCTAAAAATTATCTCAAATAAAAAACTAAAGTACTCGGTATTCTTTTTATTAGTAGTTGGATTTTAAATTAAATGATTATTTCTGCAAGACTTTCCTCCTGCGAATTCTACTTAACTACCCAAGCTCAAATTAAAATGATCCTATCTATTCTATTACACTTAATCGACAATGAAATCGTTACAAAATAAATATACATAAAAAAAATCTGCTACTTTATATATTTCCTAAATTTAATTTCTAAAAATATTTAAATAATTCGCTGCAATTTAAGTAAATAATTGAAGGATCAATGAAAACTTCATTTATGTAAATAAATTTCATATTAAAAGCCAATTAAATACTAATGTATTCTAATATTAAGCAAATATTCCAAAATGCATGTATTACAATACCTTCGCTTCTCCCATAAATTGCTATACAAAACGTATAAACTAAGAACATAATAATATTTTGTACTATGTAAAATTATAATTTGGGAAAAATAAAATAGAATTAAATCATATTGAATAATAGTCTCTTTTATGACATATCATTTGGAAAATCATAAAATATTAGTAACTATCTTCAATGTTTTGTCTAATGAAACAAAAAACAAAAAATAAAAAACAAAATCGTGATCGTTATGTTACTTTTCTTAAATCTTTTAACACCAAAATGAAATTGCTTTTATTTATAACTATGAAATTTCGTTTCAAACATTGAAACATACAAATCCTTTAATGGAATAATAATATATGTAATAAATCCAAAACAATAAGAATAATTAAACTAGTACCATACTTACTTCTCATAAATAATAATAAAATTGTGCGAAATTGTTAAAAAAAAAAAAAAAAAATTATTCGTGTTTGTACATACGCATTTATGTGCATATTTGAATATCAAACGCAAAGCATACCTAACTTTCTTAATAATAATTCATTGTGACAAGGCAGGTGTCAAGCAAATGAGAATAGAGTAAACTAAGGCAAATCCTCAAAAAAAAAAAAAAAAAAAAAAAAAAAAAAAAAAAAAAAAAAAAAAAAAAAAAAAAAAAAAAAAAAAACTCGTGGGGTTAAAACTTACTTAAAACGGTGAGATAAGAAATTTTTTTATATCTTTGTATGTTAAATTTAAATTTCTTCTATATTTTTGTATTACATTGTTAGAATATACTCTTTATTATATGACTATATACTTATAAATGGAATACAACGTTAATTTTGTAAATATTTTTTTGAATATTATTATTCGAGTAAAGTTGAAGCTCTCTACCGAGCGTTTAATTTAATTATAAAACTTCAATTCTATTCGTTTCTTACCATATAGTCGTATATAATTATTATTCATTATTTGTAACACAAGAACAATATTATTTTTGGGCTATCGCGTACACTGCAACTCATTTATTTCTCTAATACTTCATATTTACAAGTGAGCGATGTTGATTAATGATCATACTCGTGCAATTTTTCCTATTATTGAGACAACCATATAACGCTCTCATGACGGCCAACATTATTCCCAACGTCCATAAACTATGTTGCGTCGGTGCTTCTCCTTTTCGCATATTAGGTCTGACTACCTTGATGCTTTTAGTAATACGTCTTATCTCTCTCCCTCTCGCTCTCTCTCTCTCTCTCTCTCTCTCTCTCTCTCTCTCTCTTTGTGTATATTTTTCATTATCTGTCATACGTATGACTATTTTTATCGCTGTTTTACTACTTATACATCGTAATAATGCTATACGAAACAATTTATCTTATTATACACCTTCTATATTTTAATAAAGTTCCTAAGCTCTTTATTATACTTATATAATTCAACATTATTGCTATTAAGATATTTTTTAATAATTTCCATTCTTTAAGTACCTCTTTAAGATAATATTCATCTCTCCATTTGACTTATCTGTCAAATTAGGTTAAATTTAACAAGCAAACGTACAATCATATTACATAAATAATAAAATTAAAGATCATTTTTGTAATAAGTTTTGCAAAAAAAGTACAACTGTTGAATGAATGAATACTTACCTATTTACGTGACTAATGTCTCTAATAATATCATAATATTCAAATCATTTATAAAGAATAAGAAATAGGAGATTTAGAATTCGAATTACTCCTAAGCTTTCTAAGATACTTTCTTGGTATAGTCTTATATAAATTGTATGTAATACTGAAATTATAACTTCTTATACAAAATTAACAATTTAATCATGCGTCGAACATAATAATTAATTATAAAAAATAATTACAATAATACGTAACAAAGTAATTTGCATTATAAAATAAATTAACAACTTTTATTAGTCATTATTAAAATTCTACATTTTCAGTAATTACTACAATTTTATATATTTTGCTTTTTATTATTCAAAAGAATAATATATCGTCGTAATAAAAGATTTTACACGCCGATGATTCATTAATGTAAAATTATTTAATACGATACTTACACATTATACGAGATGGTTTAATAACATTGTTTTGCAATAGTTATACTAATTTACTTTTTATTGGAGATATAATTTTGTAAGCCCTTATATTCGCTTATGACGAATATAAAAATGTAGCATATAAAATTAAAGATCATTAATTCTTAAAATTATGTTAATGTAATAAAAATACAAAAATAACAATATAAATTTGGTTTTATTATAATATTATAATATATAATAATAGTTATATAGTTTTTCAAATTTCAATTGAGAAGAACTTTTGATGATCAAATCAACATTTGATCTATGAATAATCAGCGCACATTTATCACTTCTCAGGATAGCATAATATGTTAATTACTACTAATAGCATTTTTTTTTTAAATTACATGCGAAATCTATATTCATATTAATAAAATTTTGTCCGCTATGAAAAATCATACAAAGAGCCATGTATAAATGTTTTCTAAATAATAATAAATTCATTACTCGATTGTGTTATTTTGTTATTGTTTTTTTTTTTTTTTTTTTTTTTTTTTTTTTTTTTTTTTTGTAAAGTATAAGAGTCCTTGGTAAAAGATTTTCTTTACATAAACTCCGAATAAATTCGATATTGATATTCTCGCCAGTGTGCTTTTTCGATAATATTTATGTAAACACATTTCCAGTTTGATCCACCTATTAATATAGATTTACATAAATTCTTAGGATAATAATTTATGAAATCACTTTAAATAAAAACGGTTTTTTCTTCATTTATATTTTCATTATAGAAAATTAAAAATGATTAAAAGTGATGTGGAATGTTACAAAGAAAAGTCAATCTTTTTCGTTTCATATTAATTTTATAATTAAATAACATAATCATTTACTGTTTGAATACTCTACCATTCACGTACTTTATGTTAATTATTTTAAAAGATTATATAGCAAACGAGAAAGGTAAATAACTTATGTAAATGATTCAACATCATGTTAAAATCATCCAATATATCTGTTTTCATATCATTTTTCGTTTAATTGCAATTTAGTCCAAACAATTTAGTTGTAATAAATATTATAGATAAATAAAATTCTAAAATTTCATTATTAAAAACTTACTTGGTACAATGGCGTATAAATGAACATTTCTATAAATTTATATTTTCTTTGATTAATGTATTATTTTCACATTTCTATATTTATCTTATGATATTTCTTCAATTATTAATAATCGTTATCATCACATCTGCCAACTAACATTTAATTCATTAAATTACAATGCATACCTGCTGATAGACCGAGCAGAAGTATTGCACGCGAGTTGGTATTTAATTCATTTGATCTATATATACACAATTTCCTCATCAAGGCTACATTCATCTTATTGTCCAATTTTCTAAATTTTTTTATTTCGATCTATACTTCTCCCTATTCTCCTGTACATTCACTGTACTTTAGTTTTCAATTCTTTTTTTTATGTTTTTTTTTTTTACTGCCTTTCAGTTATATGTTTTCTTTTATGATTAGGTTTGTATAATGTCTCACTTTATATTCCTGATTTGTTCTATACTTTTTTTCAAG